AAGTCTCAGTCAAAAATATTAAATCATTGTTATTTAGTAGCACATTAGCTAAAAAAGATTCTGATTTAGTACGTAATCCTCGCACGTTCTGATAATACACATTAAGTTCCTTAAAAGCGCACATTTTTAAAGATAAAATTGTTTGAACTACACACGCATGAGCGAATACCCCTCCCAAGTTTTGAACAGCTAGGTTTTAATAAGAAAGATTTCAATATAAGCGAATGGAGCAAGTAATTAAAAAGGATATCATATTTATAAGTGCCTATTGTACAAAGATGAAATAGGTAACAACATAAAGTATCTATACAAACAGTATAGAATAATTATTCTAAGATATTGCTTTTTTACATTCGTATACATTATATCATTATACTCACATATATTAAGCTTAAAACGAATAAACTTACTAAAATTAATTGCCAATATAAACAGAGCAGATAAGTATTTAATTATAACATCCCTATGAGCACCAGTTGCAACATAATAAACTAAGTGAGAATATAATGCATACAGTAGACAATGAGATAGGTTAAAATTATTATATAACGATGCTTTTCCACCTTTGCACACTTGATAATAACAGAAAGCATAGATGCAAGCAGTGTAATTCTCTATTGATATTTTATGATTTTGTTTTTTGACATTCATATACATTAAATCATCATATTCATCATATATTATATTAAGTTTAAAACAATTAATTTCGTTAGATTTAATTTTTAATACAAAGGGAACAGTTAAGTATCCAATTAGTATATCCATATAAGGACTCATTGCATCCAAGTGCACCAAGTAAAAATACAATACATATAGTAGCCAATGTGAAAGGTCATAGTCATAATCTAATAACCTTTTACCCTCATACATACAATAATAACACAAAGCATAGATGCAAAAAGTGACATTGTCCATTAATATTTTATGATTTTGCTTATTGATATTCGTACACGTTAAACCATCACATTCATATACATTAAGGTTAAGACGATTAATCTTATTAAATCTAAATATAAACGGAAAATATACGTATTTAGTAATTATAGCTTTATAAGCACCCATCGTATCAAGAAGAGATAAGTGAAAATAAAATGCACAATAGTAGCAAATGGAATAGGATACAGTTATTGTACAAAGTTGCTTTTTTACCCTTATACATATTATATAAATGAAGAAATCAAATAACAATGATAAGTAAATATACACTAGCGCAACGATTATAGAAACATTAGGACACAGCTCACAGACAGGTAATAGTCACTTAATTTTATTTAAATCAGATTCCTTTGAAATACGGATTATATTGGAGCTATCAGTTTTACGAATAAATATTTTAATAAATATTTGCTTATGTCCTGTAGTTCCGTTAGCAACTTTATGTTGTTGTTATCATCAATGGAATTACATTTAAGCCAGAATTTACCAGCTAAGTATAATCTCCTGATACTAAGTGGGGGGATACATAGTTCGTTTTCCATGACATGAATAGGTGTAGACTTAATAAAGCTACCTATCAACCTTAAACATTGGTTCTGTACTTTATCTAGTTTATTTATATGTGTTTGACAGCTATTACCATATAATTGACTACCATAATCAATTCTACTACGAATCAAGCTAATATATATTTTTCTTAAGTGGGTGGGATGCTCACCCCAACCTGGACCACGTAATATTTTTAAAATCTTTAAAAATTTCATAGTTTTCTCCCTTAGTTCATTAATATGTTTTGACCATCTGAGACCTTTATCAAGCCACAAACCTAGATATCTTACGTTTTCCGCTAATGTTATTTTTTTATCATTAATCTTTATCTGAACTGATTCTTGCCTGAAACTTCTATTAAATATACATAATTTTGTTTTGACAACTGATACTTCCAATCCAATTATTTTCAGATAGTTAATCAGAGAGTTCAAACCCACTTGTAATTCCTTAGCGCTAGCAGATAAATTGCCAATGGAAGCATACAGAACAATGTCATCTGCATATTGAGAGGTATATATGTTTTTGATATTTGAGCAGATATCCTTCGTTACTATATTGAACAATAACGGAGACAGAGTATCTCCTTGTGCCAAACCGACACATGTTCGTCTCTGCAGCGTCTCTCCATCATTTTGAATTTGGAGATTCCTGTCTGTTAGGAAATTCCAAAGGTAGCTACAAATTTTCGTTCCAATCCCGATGTTGTCAAGCACCGATAGAAGGTGCGAGATGTCAACATTGTTATATGCATTGTCGATGTCAATAAAGCATGCAATAGTAGGACGATTATGTGTAAATCCTATTAATATCTGAGAAACAAGACTGCTCAAATTGTCAAGACACGACTTAGCTTTCCTAAAACCTGTCATGCTAGGAGGAAAAATATTGTTTTTTTCGCAATACCACTCCAATCTTTTATGTAAGATATTATGAAATATTTAGGCATGAGATTAGAGAGATAGGTCGTAAAGCAGTAATATTATTTTGGTTTTGTCCTGCCTTGGGTATTGGCAAAATAATGATATCTCGCCACTGTAAAGGAACTAAACCAGAGCAAAATATTCTGTTAAAAAGTTGTGATAAAACCTGCTTAGCATTTGTGGGTAGATGCTTAATCATCATGTAAGTTATACCGTCACTACCAGGTGCCGTATTTTTTCCTGGAATATTATTATCTATTTCGGCGAGGGAAATACTTGATTCCAATGTAGCATTTGATGAATAGAAGGTTGGGTAATTGGGAGTGACAAAACAAGGAGTTAGGTTTTTTAGTAAATCATAAGCTTTATCCTTGCTGACATAAAAGTTAGGTGTCTGGTATCCTTTTATCCACTTCATTTTACGCCACAGCTCACTAACAGAAATCGAGTGATCACACTGCGAACAAAACTCTTTGAAGCTACCGTTTCTTGCCTTATATAACAAGTTCCTTGATAGACGGATCTTTTCTTTTAATAGGATTGAATTTTGTGGCGTGGGATTACGGCGGAAACGGCCAAGTGCCAAACGGCGTTGAGCTACAGCCTCGGACAATGAGGCATTCCAATATGGTTTAGGATGAAACTTATCATTATTACCACATCTAACAAACGGGATGCACGAATTTGCAACTAAATTTATATTTTCTTCGAATGTGTCATAATCTTTTTGTAAGTTGTCGGTATATTGGAATTCTTCAAATATTTTGGACAGCGAAGAGTTGTAGGTTGTCCAATTTATAATTTCGTTTCATTTTGTCATATTTTATAATATTAGCCCCCGTAGTGATTTTAACCATTCTGTGGTCACTGCCTAATGTTTCATTCAATACTTTATAATTAAGTTTCAGAGAGATATCGCATGTGGCCAAGATTAAGTCAGGAGATGATTCTTGTAAAATGCCGTTAACTAATTGGATTCTAGTAGGGGAGTCATCATTTAACGAAACGTAGCAGCTTTCAGAAAGAGCCTCGATTATTTGTTTACCCCTATGGTCTGTTTTAGCAGACCAGTTTGTATGGTGGCCATTTATATCGCTAAGAATAATAGATTTAGATTTTGCTATGGATAACATCTTGTCCCAATCTGCAGTACAGGTACGCACATCAGAAGGACAATATACAGAAACAATATTTTCTAAAATGTCGCAGTTAGAAACCGATATATGTATCATTTGAATATCCGAATTATTATGAGAAAGATTACATTTTTCAGATTTTATTGATTTATGTATCATAACAGCTATGCCCCCATATGAATCATTGCGGTCAAGACGAAAAATTGTGTAATCTTTCATTTTAAGATAGCTTTCTGAGTCTAACCATGTCTCACAAACTGAAGCAATATGGATCTTTTCTCTAACTAGTATATTTTCAAAACACAGTAACTTAGGAACTAAACTACGAGAATTCCAATGTAATATATTTAAATTTGTTAGTTTAGTTTTCTTATCCATTAAAATACTCAAAAATATTTTTTATCAACGACCAATCTGAGATATTATCTACTACAATTAATATTAACCACTCTATACATGACTTAATTAGTAAATTAACTTTATGGCCTATAGAACAGTTTTTTATAAATATGATGTCTCTAAGCCTATTTAAGAGTTCCACAAAGGTAACTTCTTTCTCACGATCCGGTTTATTAGGTCTATCCTCTATCTGTTCAAAATGTGTTTCTTTTATTGATGACTCTGATATATTGGAGGGTTTGTTTATATGACTTTGGCTTTTTTTCGAGTATTTTTCTGTTTTCGGTTCAGCCGGTGTATGTATTTGAGCTCTTATTTTGGTTATATTAGCATATGTTTGGCGCTCCTGACCCGGTGTCTCGTTTATTATACTAGATAACGGAGAAAAGAAGTTGCTGTTGTCTGTGAATGAGCGTTTCGAATTTTTTAGGTCAGAACTTATTTTTTCCTCAGATTGAGGAGATTTTGGCACATACATGGTTCTTGCCTTCCTGTAAGTACAGTTAAATTCAGACATGATCTCACGAATCTTTTTTTCTTTTAAAAAGGCGGGACATGTCTTTTATAAGGCCATATGATCACCGTGACAGTTTACACACATATATACCATTGTGTCGCAGTTATCATGTTTACCACTGCACTTTGGGCAAATCACTTTATCAGAAGGACATCTCGATTGTGTATGTCCCAATTTCCAACACTTTGAACACTGAGAGACTGGAAAAATGTATGGTTCTACCAAAATACGCAGATCTTCCACATACACAGACGGAGGTAGTCTTGACCCTTTGAAGCAAATACGTATAGTTTCACTCGGTATCCATTCTCCATTAATCGTACGGCGTTTTAAGCGCATCACTGATGAGATTACTGTCCCATCATTGCAGGTTATATTCTTCAAAATTTCGTCGTCTAATAAATCTAAGTCCACATTCCTAATTGTTCCATATGAATAGTTGACTTGGCTGGCCTGTTGGATAATCCAATCTTTCTCTAAAATTTCTTTACACTGAATAAATTCTTCCATACATTTAGTGCTTTCGAAGTCGATTCGTATTTAATAGGGGTTAAGGTATTTTATTCTATTAATATCCTCCAAACCCAAATTTTTGAATAGTTTTGCCATTGCAAATTGTTTGGGCAACTTCTCTTTACCCGTAATGTATACTTGTAGACTATCCTGAATTTTATTTTTTTTTTCTTTGCCTACTAATTTCCAGTCTTCATCTTCTTCGCGTCCTCTTTTACTACGGCTTACGGTTTCTTTCTTCAAATGTGTATATTCATCTGTCTTAAATAACTCTGATTCTTTTCTCGCAAAACTGCTAGGACTCGGAGTCCGCATACATTCTTCATCGTACTGAATTTCAATGGTATCTTTTTCCAAAATTGTATTCATTTTAAATAATTAAATAAATACTTCACTAATCATTATTGAGCCGCTGCGTCCCGCGGACAACAGCCGGCTAGATAAGCAACCGGTTTTTAGGTATGCACTGCACGCGAATTTATTTATTAAAAATTCTCCGATACGAACACGTCCACTCGCACGGGTGCCGTGGCGGGAATGGGATACTATGTTGCGGGACGGTATTATCGAGCCCGTAGATAGCTCAGACTGGGCGACGCCTTTGGTACCGGTACGTAAAGCGGACGGAAGTTTAAGAATATGTGCTGATTATAAAATTACTTTGAACCCGGTCTTACTGGTCGACAGATACCCATTACCTAGAATAGATGATTTCCTGGTGAAACTAAACGGTGCTCAGTGGTTTTCGAAAATTGATTTATCCCAGGCCTATAATCAGATCGAATTAGACGAATCTAAAGAACTAACGGTAATTAACACCCATAAAGGATTATTTAAATACAATAGGTTAGTATTTGGACTGTCTTCAAGTCCGGGCATTTTTCAACGAATAATGTGTAAACTATTAGGTGACATTCCAGGAGTAGAAATATTTTTAGACGACGTGATTGTAGGAACAAATGGGGGTAGACCGGAACATTTAGCGAGGTTGGAGCAGGTTTTTAAACGGTTACAAGAACACGGTATGAAGCTTAAAAAAAATAAATGTTCATTTTTAGTTAAACAAGTAAAATATTTGGGGTATATTATATCTAGTAACGGTGTCGAAGTGGATAGCGAGAAAGTAGCGGCCATCACTAAAATTCCAAGGCCTACGAATGCTTCCCAATTGAGATCCTTTTTGGGCTTAGTCAATTTTTATGCTAAATTTGTTAAAAATATTAGTAAAATTTTATATCCTCTTTACGCATTGTTAAAAAAAGGCGCGGCGTGGAACTGGACACGGAATTGTGAGGAATCGTTTATTAACATTAAAAAAATGTTAACTAGTACAGAAGTGTTGATACATTATGATCCTCAAAAACCCTTGACCTTGACCTGTGACGCTAGTGCTAAAGGCATTGGCGGGATACTTTCTCAACCCGTGGCCGAGGGAGGCGCCGAACGTCCAGTAGTATATGTGTCGCGGGCACTCACAGGTGCGGAGAAGCATTACTCACAGATCGACAGGGAAGCGTTAGCTATCGTATTTTGTTTACAAAAATTACATCAATATTTATATGGCCGACGATTTACTCTTAAAACAGACCATAAGCCATTGGTCAGTATTTTTGGGCCGAAACAGGGGATACCGACGATGGTAGCCAGTCGTATGCAACGTTGGGCAATTATATTGTCTGCCTACACCTACGATATTGAATACGTAAACACTAAACAAAACGGAGTGGACGGTTTGTCAAGATTGCCAGTAGGTATTAATGCAGGTAGCTCGAGTGAGTCATCGTTCGATCCGCCGGAACAAACGTATTTGCATTTCGCATAGAATGAATTATTATTAGACTATAAGGTTATTAAACAACAAACGGCACATGATCCGTTATTAAGCAGAGTTTTGTTATATATTAGAGAAGGTTGGCCCGAAAATAACGATGTTAGAGAGTTGCAACCGTATTTTAATAGAAAAAAAGAATTGTATCAAGAATTAGGTTGCGTTATGTGGGGTTATCGAGTAGTTATACCCGACCGGTGTAGGGATCGCGTTCTGAGTGAACTTCACGAGGCACACATGGGTATGAGTAAGACCAAAGCAATGGCCCGAAGTTACGTGTGGTGGCCCGGCCTGGACGAAGCCGTTGAACAAGTGTGCGCGAGCTGTGCAATATGTGCGGCGGAGGCCGATGCACCGCAACGACATTCGGTAACACCGTGGCCATGGCCGGCTAAACCTTGGTCCCGAGTACATTTAGATTTTTTAGGACCTTTCCAAGATAAATTATATTTAATTTTAATTGACGCGAGAACGAAATGGTTGGAAGTTTATCCTGTTCCTAGTACCGCAGCGAAGTATACTATTAGTAAATTAGAAGAAGTCTTTGCAAGATGGGGGTTACCTAGACAATTAGTTACAGATAACGGTCCTCCTTTTTCGAGTGGCGATTTTTCGAATTTCATTAATAAAAATGGTATTGAACATTTATTTTCGGCACCTTATCACCCAGCTTCGAATGGGGCGGCCGAAAATGCAGTACGAATTGTAAAAAAAACTATTAAAAAGGCGATTCGGAAAAAGGAGGATATACAGACATTTTTAAACAAATTTTTGTTGTATTATCGTAATACAGAACATTGTACTACTAAAGAAAGCCCAGCTAATCTTATGTTAGGCAGGAGTTTACGTACTAAGCTAGATTTACTTAGACCTTCCAGAGATGAAAAGCTAGGACAATCACAACAAATTGATAGTAATAAAAGCAGGGACCGTGTATTTGTGCCAGGCGAAGAAGTATGGATGCGTCAATACCAAGGTATAAATAAATGGTTGCCAGGTAAAGTGGTAGACCGTTTGGGTACGACAGACTAAAGGATAGCCGACGCTGTAGGAAGGGATATTCATAGACACGTTGACCAGTTACGTCGGAGATCAGTACGTAATTCTTTAGTAAGTTCTTCGTTTGCTCCTAACTTAACCCCGGAGGCTATAGTGTCGGTACCAACGGAGGAGGTATCACCGCTCAAAGATACCGAACAGAGCACAGTCGCACCAGCACAGACCGCATCCAAGGTGGCTCAAACCAGTGAAGAATCCGCACAGATTACAGCCGAATATGTTCCTCCCGCAATCGCAACGAATACGCCTCCGTGTTATACCACCCCGCCTCAGGCTCGGCCCAAAAGGAAATGTAGACTGGAAAATGTACCTAAATATAAGTTTTAAAAGCGGATTTTTATTGTTATAGATTGTTGTCGCTCATAACTTGTATCTTGAACACGTTTTAAAAAAAATGTAGTTGTAAGCATTATAATTTATTTCTTGTTGATTGTGATTTATGTAGTACGATTAAAATGTGATTATTATTTGGTAAAGTCATCTTACTTATTGGAATGATAAGTTATTAACATTAACTAGGTTAATTTCTTTTCAATTTGTAAATTAGAGGGAGGGATTGTAGTATAGTGGGTACCTTAATTATTAGTATAGTTGAAGGTATATCTAAGCTATATATATATCAGTGACGGCAGTTGAAATACAGACTTGAAACTAACAACTTGTTTATCATTTCTACTACGACAGCTCACCTATCGTAATTTTTGTGACATTTCTTTTTAATTCTTTTGCTAACTAAATATTTAAGTAATCTTAGTTGTAAATTTTTAATATCCTTCAAATGAGTAGTGAATGTACGGCCATATACGTTTAGACCGTAACTTATAATGCAGTCCGCTAAACCATAATATATTAAGTGCATAACTTTTTTATTTACGACGTAACTCAATTCATAAAATTTACTCAATATGGATCTCAATCTAACACAAGCTTGATCCACCTGTGATTTCCAATTAAAATGTTTATCTACTGAAATTCCCAAATATTTGAAGGTTTCAACTAACTCTATTTTAGCACATTTACATTGCGACTTATTTTTATGTAAGCGTTCATAGTCATGACCTACTATCGTTATATCTAAACCCATTTTTTTCCTAGCTACCACATTATATGGCGAATGTATATGCATACATTCGCCTGGAATATGTGCATTTTTCGACCTCTGTTCGGGCAATCGTCAATTCTTCTCTTGTGGGTTCGGAGGGGGGATTTTTATTACTTCAGTTTGGAAATATAGTCGATTTTCACGGAGGGGGAGTTTTCATTTGCGCGTCAATATGGCGGCGGCGGGGGCGGCCATTTTGTTTCGGCAATGAAAAATCGCCTTTTTCCAATGAGATTTTCGCAATAATGGCGGCGTCGGACGGATTTGCGTTCTATGGGACGGTCGTTGGGCTCGGTAGGATCTTTCTACTTCACTACCGATTTCTACCATTTTCGTGGTAATAAAATGCGACATAATATTGTTATACAATATTCTTTAGATCTGTAGGTTCTTTGATGTGTATGGACGCAGAAGTATCGCTCTTTCTCACAAATAATTTTCCATCGCGAATCCAAATATAACGATAGTTTTTTGCTTTTGCCATTTCACGAGTATTTTTATACAAAATTTTATTTGATCGTGTTAGGTGCTCGTTTACAAAAATTTTGGTCTCCTTGCCAGAAATATTGATATTAGTGGTAGTAATGCCCTTCTTGGTACGAATCCCTGATAAGATGGTGTCACGGACAAGTCGAGATTTGAATTTCACTATGATAGATTTAGGACGACCTGCGGTTTTAATAAATGGTTGTATTCTATTGACGTGTAATATATCCTCTGAAGAAATTTCAATTGCCACATATCGACCAATAGCGGTTATGTAGTCAAGAAGATTTTCATTATTCCGTTCAGGTATGCCTGTTATTTCAAGGTTGTTCAAACGTTCGCGTTGCTCTAACGTATTCAAATCTTTTTGTAATTTAGCGACCTCAGACTTCAGCGAGTGACAGTTTTAAGATTCTAATTTAATCTGCTGAACATCCTCCTGGATTTGCTTATATCCTTTTCCTGGAAATTCAATGTTTCCTTGACATCATCCATATCGGTTTGCAACTGTGAGTAGCGTAAATTTATGGAACTGATGTCAGCTTTTATAGTTTTTAAATCCTTTTTAATAACGGTGTTTATATCTTCCTGAACTGCCAATATTTTGCCACTTAGATCAGAATTTAAGAGGCTTAGCTTCGAAGATATATCTGTCATAGCCCTCTCGAGTTTCATTGAAGTGTCAAGATCTTCATCTCGGCCTTTTCTTTTTAGTCGGCGACTAATAATATTAGAAGTATTATCATCCATCGATGGTATATCGGAATTAGAGGAGCAGGCTGAATCCATATTATAGGTTTGGATTCCTTTTTTTTTATTTCGTAATTATAATAAAGTGAGGGTATAAACACCAGAGAACGAAAACCAAAAACTGTTGAGTGCAAATATTAAAGA